TCATATAAATAACTACAAATTGTAAATTTAAGACACAATTGGTCTGCACCATCTCAAGCGCCATCTAGAGTATCACTCAATTATGCAATTTTGGTAAGCAAGTATGTCTTTGATACAAGTAAGATTTAAACCTTTTCGTTTCTTGTCAGTGAGTGACCCACGCTAACAGAGGGATAACTAAAAGTTACCGTTTGAATTGATGCCACTAGGCACCAAAGTCCCCGACAAAATCGATTTCTACCCGGCGGTTCTGAACACCACTGATAGAAAGAGCGGCGCATTGGCCGCAGAATTAGAGCTGAAGGGTGCAAACGATCGCGTGGATAGGCTCGAATGGCAACTGTTGAATGCGGAGGAGACTATTTGTCATCTCAAGGCCGAAAAACTTGCAGCGTTCCGAGACGTCGAGCAGCTTAATATAAAAGCACATTTTGTGCCCAAACAGGTGTTAGAGCTTGAAACGCGATTGGCCGAGCAGACGCAGATTTATGAATCAGAGAAGGAGCAGCGTATGGCTGAATTTCGAGACCAAGAGCGCGAACTTACGACGCTGCGCGTCAAGTTGGAGGACACAACTCGACAATACGAAGAGCTGCAGCTGAAATATATGGAATTACTGAATAACAAAGATAAGGTGATCACAGTCGACTTTTGCCACATCACCGGCGTGACGCAGTTAAGCAGTTATGAAGACACGGAAAAATGTGTCGCGGGACGAGCACGGGCGCCTGCTGATGCTGACACCGTAAATTCCAAGTGGCAAGAAGAATCAGTACGTCATCCGACACCACACTTTGACCTGGAATCGCCAGAAGTGGATTACATCCTTCGAGCGTGGACAAAAAACATGAGAAAGATGCGCTACATGCGGCGTTGGCTTGTTCAAGTGGCAAATACTAAAGGATCGTTGCCAGACGATTTTCCAATGGGTGTTGAGCTGCCTCGACTTCCGCCTGAAGTGCGTGACGGCTTTTTAACACTTGTGCTTCCTTTGCTCCGTAAGCAGACCCAACGGGAAATCCTCGCCCACTGTCGTCAATATAATGACGGTATTCATACGGATGTACGCTTTCGGATTGTTCCACGTGAATAATTGTAGTGAAGGCTGATGAGCAGTATCTCACTGCAACTGCAAATCACAATATCCCTGCGAAATTTCACCAATAATGCTTGTCATTTGACTCTGCAGCTGTTCAATGTCATCCTTTGTCACCACGTAAATCTCTCTGGCACCTCTCATGATATGGCTACTCTGCTTGGCCTTCCACGATTGCTGTGAACGAAGAAATAAATTCTGCGGATTAAAAAGCTCTGTATTTTTAATCTTGAGATCATAACTCGACATTTTTGTCTCCATTTGTCGCACCTGTAAGCAAGACTTTTGCTTGTAGACCCATTTGTTCCATTCCTCTTCGTAAATCCGCTCGACTTGTTGCATAATCTCAGCATTTTTTTCAAAAAGCGTTTGAACTTTATGAATTTCAGCATGCAATGACTCAGAAATTTTATTTGGTAAAGCACTTGAGTCTGCTTGAGTGTTTGATGTTTTGCTATCATCTTCGAGTGCTAGAACAAGACTATTGATCCACTTGTAAAACATTTGTTCGTCTTCAATCATTTGCACACTACACGTATGCGACATCAGCACAACTTCTAGTGTGAATAGGTCGGCACAATGACCCACCTTTGTGCTAACACCTGCACTTGCTCACTTAATATTTCTGTAGGTCTCATCACTAGATCAAGTACGTAGGCTGGAATCATTTCGTCTTGGCACGCTTTCGACATATCTTGCAATGCTTTCAGACGCTTTGACAGTCGTTCAATATATCGAACATACGCTTTGAATTCATTCAGTTGACTTTGTAAGCGACCGAAACCACAGTGCAATTGGTGCATTCGACCTTCTAGCGGTAACTTCTTGTCACAAACCTCAACTGCTGTCGACAAAACATTTGCCGCAGCCAATTGAGCGCTTTCAAAACTAATGTCGACATTCTGTCAAAATAAATTATTAATGGTTCTAAATTTAAATTGACTCATTCATACATCTGGAAATGGAGGTAGATGCAGTTGTTTGGACCCCATGTAGCGCTGTACAAGCAGAAAAAAGCAATTTTTGTCAACGAATAGCTTACTTTACAGTGTGAAAGAGTTTTTACTTCAATGACGTCGCGATGCTGCCTTTCGAAGAAATTAGAAAACGCAAACAGCCAGGCAATGGCAAGCAGCAGTATTTGGCTTGATGGGCGTACTGTCTTCGAGTATAACTCAGAGCATACAAAACCCCAATCATATAGGTAGAAGCGTACTAACTCCATCTGGATCTCTAAGATTTTCCTTGAATCAGTCATTTCATATATCAATGTTCAATAGAAGATACTTACTATGTAACTTAGCATCAAGGAGCGCACTCCTCAGTGTTCCGGCATCGTTTAAAAGCTCAAATTCTCTTCTATCAATTTCGAATCCGGCTAGTTCCACAAGCACAAGATCGTGGAGCAGTCTCCATAGCACCCAATACTCGTGCTGAGCAGCACATCATGTCAAAGGTTTGATAGAAGTGCGTAAATTTGATTACAGCGCAAACCTCTGTTGTCCGATTCTTCTTTGCTTTGCGAAGAAGGTCGATTGAGACGTAGTGAACGCCAATGGACTCTAGGCCAAGGCGAATAAGGTATCCGAACCGCGGCGTGGGCGCTTGAGCTTTGGCAAACCGCATCCTGATTGACAATTGTGGATTTAACGATGAGCACATGGGATGTGAATTAACAGATTTGTGAAGAATCGAGTATAAAGGGGAAATTATATTAGTGGATACATCAGTGCGACTAGCACTTCTATTGAGAAGCTAGACAGACAATATGACTCTACTTAGTCCCTTTATTTCACAACATTCCTAATTGCACTAGCTACTGCAGAGCCCAGCAAAAATATCTGAGCTCAAACGTGATCTACGTCAAAGACTTGGAGCTTGCACTGCAATTTCACTCTATACCTCTCTTCATTATTTGAGGCTGAGATATCAAAAGTAATGTATTTCCGAATCAGCAGCGCACCCAGCAAAGCCCCGGCAGACCAGCTGTTGGCGCTAAAAATCGAAGTGTGCTCAGCCTAAACTTGGAATCACTAGGCTTTTGTACGCGATCTTTCCAACGGATGACGACCCTTGTAACGACCCTGGTTGTGTGTCGCACCAGATGTGCATGGTGTGCCAAACAAGAATATGGTACGGGGCTGGGTAGCCAGTGGTTATACATGTAATCAGATTTTACTATACAAATTAAGGAAAATCTATGCATTTAAGGCTTTGCCGTATATAAAAATAAATGAAAAATCAGTCTTGAATTTAAAAAAGAAGAGTAATTAGCCTTGGGTTAAGGCTATAATTACTCTTGGAGTAAGTGAATTGCGATCCGCTAAACTGATACTTGTTCTGAGTATAGAACGAGAGGTCGGTGACATAACTTACGCTTCCTCAGAGCGCAAAGCTACGGCAGCCCCGCTGCACGTGGTAGCAGCTTGTAGTCAATCTACATCTGAGTCGTTTAGACTGATCCTCTGTAAGGAAGAAACAATTTTCCTCTTTGCCCCAGGACATGCAGGACGGGCTTAAAAAGTTGATGTCCTTGCTTGGCCCTGAGGGCGTGCAACACCTTGCTGCGCAAGGCCCCGAGGC